TCCATTATTTGGCAACACATCAAAAAAGGAACAGAGTGTGCAAGTAAACCATTAACCTTTTGCAGTAAATCAGTTCAGTCTAAGCACAGTCTGGGAACTGCTCTGGTGTAGATGGTGTTTTGTGTTAAATAAAACAAAAGGGAACAGAACCTTGAATTTACAAAGCTTTACTTGTATGGGATAAGATCTACTGATGTTACTGGCACAGTTTACATGGGGGAAAATAACAACATTAACAACTGCCAGTTGTTTAAGAATTTATATAAAAAAATGAATTCTCCAGTATAGATGGGGCTATATATAGCAATAGCAATAGCAATAGCAATAGCAATAGCAAGTATATTTCTATACTGCTTATAAGTGCACTTAAGCACTCCCTAAGTGGTTTACAATGTGTAAGCTAATTGCTCCCAACAAGCTGGGTACTCATTTTAGTGACCTTGGAAGAATTTAAGCCTGAGTCGAGCCTGAGCTCCTGGCTGGTACTGAACTCACATCCTTATGGTTTGTGAGTGAGTGGCTGCAGTACAGGCATTTAACCACTGCACCACCAGGGCTGTATATAAACCCAGAGGATGGCAATGGCAACCCCCCTCTGAAGAAACTTGCCAAGAAAACCCCATGATAGGTTTCCCTTAGGGTCGCCATAAGTCAGGAGTGACTTGAAGGCACAACACCAACAACATCAACAACAACAAACATAAACTGATGGAGGAAAGGTAAACTTCTCAGTGTCTGGATATGCAATGTATGGAGATTTTTGTGATTCCACACATTGGGCCTAAGCAGACTGGCAGCACGGGGCCGCCCTGGGAAGGTGCGCCGCGGGACCGAGGCATCCCCACGCCTCGATCTTGCGCCGCACCTTTGCCACCCCTAAAAGGAGCGCTAAAATAGCGCTCCTTTCACAAGTCAGCGAAAGTGCGGCGCAAAAGCTTGCGGCGCACTTTCGCTGACTTTTCCGCCGCAGCGTGTCCGGATGCTGCGGCGGGAGGTTGCCCCCAGAGCGCCGGCCGTGTGGAGGGCCAGCGGCTCCGAGGGCAACCTCGGGAGGAGGAAGGGGCGCCGAGCGTGCGGCTGCCCCTCCCCTTCCTTGCCTCGAGGACGGCTTTTTAAGCTGTCTGCCGAGGCCTATTGTGAGGATGTGTGCTAGAATGACATGCTTTTCTGGATGTACTTCTGGTCCAAAACACTGCAGAAATAATCCAGTTTGAGACCACTTTAACTGCCTTTGCTCAATGCTAGGGAATTCTGGGAACTATAGTCTTGTGAGACATTTAGCCTTCTCTGTCAGAGAGCTCTGGTGCCACAATAAACTAGAATTCCTAGGATTCTCTAGCACTGAGCCAGGGCAGTTAAAGCAGCCTCAAACTGGATTATTTCTGCAGTGTGTTTTGGACCTTAGACTACTCTTAAAAAATCTAGGCTATTTTTTCTAGTGTTGCAGCCATTGCCTTTGGTTAAACTCAATCTTAATTCTGTTCTTATGTAGTTGCTGGAGTAAGAACTAGTACACATTAAAGTGTGCTCAGTTGCCTTTCACAATACCTGTCCCCCATTATCTTACCAGGGAGGGGAAACTGCTAACCTACTGAGTAAGGGTTCCTTTAGCCTGTCTTTGGTTACAAAATCTGTCCAAACCTGCTTCTTTTCCTAAACAACACCGTTATCACCTAATCTCAGCTGGGTCTTGTTTCTATCAGAACTTCCTCTGGCTTTCACCAGCATTTACAGTAGAGTTGTTTTCCCAGCAACAGTTGGAAATAGTGAGTTCCTTCCTTCCTGACTTCCTTCCTTGTAACAAAGGTTTAATGAAATTATATTTTGAAAGCAATGCAACCAGTTGGAACAACATCAGTGCTTTTGGTGTAACAACAACATTCTAGTTACTTTCAAACATTATTTGTAAAGGCCTTTTAAAGCCTTTTAGAGGGATTTGACAGTATCCCCCCCATGTTTTATGCTACTATTCAAGAATCCATGGTATTGGGAGGATAGGTGAGCAGCATAATTGTTGCCACAGGAGCATAGAAAGAAGAGAAGAGATGAATTTTGTACAAAACTCAATTGCATATCCTCTTTGTTCCCTAACTCTGCACTTTCCCACAGGCCAGAGATAGAAGGGTTCATGGCTGATAAATTAATGTGGAATAGATTTCTCAAAGATACAAAATCTGAAAAATGCTGGAGAAGGAAATTGTTTCAAGGATAAGAGGCACATTTGAAATATTTATGGAAGTAAAGATTGCAAAATAGAAAATAAATAATCATGGATTTTATGTAAATCCTTTTGAGAGACGTTACTGCATTTTTAAACAGCCAAACAATGGTGTGATTTCTGTGGGATTATGGATAATACATGCCATTGTGGATTTTGTAAAGCTGACATCACAGGTGTGTTTTTAAATATCCATGTCAATGGACGTTTTCAC